AACTAATGAAAAGTCTAAAAAGTTTGAGCTGCTAAACAAGCAAGGTATGTTAGAGCCCCATCCTAAATATTATGAATGGGTGGGACTTACAAAACTACCATCTTTGAAAAGTATCTCAGAGAAGATAATGTCCATATCGCATGTGTTTGTTTGGATATACTTCTGGTGGTTGTTTTTTCATTGCTTTCTGAAGGGTTATGTGTATTTTTAGTAGAAGCAAGGTTAGAAGGGCTGGGTACACGTTGTATAAATACACCTGAAATCAAAGGATATTCTGAAATTGTAGAAATTGGGGTGCTTAGAGAATTTAAGAATCATGAGTGAGTCCCTAAAATGCATCCAACTAGCTTTTTAGAGGAAGTTTTATTTTCTGCCCTTTGAAAGATTCAAAATTGGGTACGGATAGCAGGTAAGCTGTATTTAGGCTAACATACACTCAAAAATAGTTGTACTTTCCAGCTGGACATCCTAGCTCTTCTAATAATAGACCTTTCTTCAGAAAGGCTTCCAGCTTGGCAGTAGTTTGTAGTAACTAGGGTTTGGGACCATGGACTAGTGCCAGCTGTGATTGTTTCCTTGTGTGTTGACAGAAGGTCCTGGGGAATTGCTTGATGATCATTATTATTGGTCGTTATCTTCTCAGTCATTCTGTATCAACTTGGCATTTTTAAATTAAGGAAGCTGATGATATGTTTCTACTTTCTAAAAGTTCACAGCAAACCGTTTTTTCCTTTTTAAAACAAAGAATGGGGGCTTCCCTGGTGGCGCAGTGGTTGAGAGTCCGCCTGCCGTTGCAGGGGACACGGGTTCGTGCCCCGGTCCGGGAAGATCCCACATGCCGCGGAGCTGCTGGGCCCGTGAGCCATGGCCGCTGAGCCTGCGTGTCCAGAGCCTGTGCTCCACAACGGGAGAGGCCACAACAGTGAGAGGCCCGCATACCAGGGAAAAAAAGAAAAACAAATAAAACAAAGAATGGTATTCCTGGGGAAGGGAGTTTTATCGTTTCTCATAGCTTGCACAGATAGTCCACTTAAAAATAGGGATAGATCACCACCTGAAGTCTCAGCTTTCTGGCAGCGTTTTTAAAGGTGGTTTTTTTTAAAAAATAGGGCTTCCCTGGTGGCGCAGTGGTTAAGAATCCGCCTGCCAATGCAGGCGACACGGGTTCGATCCCTGGTCCAGGAAGATCCCACATGCCACGGAGCAGCTAAGCCTGTGCGCCACAACTACTCAGCCCGTGCTCTAGAGCCTGTGAGCCACGGCTGCTGAGCCCACGCGCCACCACTACCGAAGCCTGAGCGTGAGCCTGTGCTCCACAACAAGAGAAGCCACCGCAATGAGAAGCCTGCGCACAACGTGAAGAGTAGTCCCCGCCCGACACAACTAGAGAGAAGCCTGCGCGCAGCGCCGAAGACCCCACGCGGCCAGAAATAAATAAATAAATACTTTAAAAATAATGGTATTGTGGATATTTTTCTAAAGAGTACTTATTATATCTGAAATAATAACTCCTTAATATAAAATATCCAGTGAGTATTTAGATTTTCAGTCGACTCATGTTAATTTTCCTAGCAGTTTATTTGAAATAGGATCTGTGGGTCAGTATGCATTTTAAGACTTTGTAACTTTTTTAAAGAAACAACTGGCCCACAAACTAGATTTTACTGATTGCATACCTGTAATATAGATCTCTGTATTTCCAGTAAATTAGTAGTTGGATCTAAACGCTTCCTATATTTATATTCCCATTTTTCTTTTTTTGTAAGATTGCTTTATAGTTGATAATTTTTCTTCCCATCAGGATGCAGGTGACGTCTGGTTGATTCTGTCTTTCTGGGATGTCAGCAACCATTGATATCATCAGTTCATTAGGAATTGCAATATGATGACATGCTATCATTTTTCATTTATTAGCTGGAATATTTCTATAAAGAGAAGCTTTCCCTCTAGTAGTATTTAGTTACCCAGTGGTACTTGGGACAATGATAAATATATGTGCTTTTGTTCTCTTTATCAATTTTCAAAATGACAAGTTGGTCCATCATTCTCTAGTGATGGCCAGTGAGGTTTTTGTTTTTTTTTAATGTAATAAATGAACTAATGAAAAGAGGCCTGTTATTAGAAGAGCTGGGGATGTTCTGTTGAAAAGTACAGCTATTTTGATTAATTTTGTCAGTAACCCTAAATAAAATTTACCTACTATTCCATACCTATTTTAAGACTTTCTCAGGGGAAAACCAAAATCTTCCTCTAAACAGCTACAACAAAGCTAACATCCTTACCGAGTGTCCTAATTATGCCGTCTTTGCCCAGTTGGAGCGTCTTCAAGTTGGCGTCTGAGTCTTTTTACACAACTCTGGTAGTGTGATTGCTTCCTTGCTGTTCTGGGCTCATCTTGTTCATATCCTGTTCCACACCTGGAATCAGCTATTTCTCCAAGGACCCCTGTTCCTTTCAGTAGAGACTGTAATCTGTATTTCTAGGGTTGGAGAATATATATATATATTTTTAAGAGGGCTCTGCATATTTAAAGGTTGTTTTGATTAGTACTAAAGGAGTTCAAGAACTGAAGGAGTTCTAATTAAAAAAAAAAAAATACTGGAGCCTCACTCTGAGATCCTAAGTGGGGCCTGGAATGATCTAGTTCTGTCATTTTCCCTGGTCTCCATAGCTATATTAAGATCCTCATAATGTGTCATCATGTATGTTTCTCTTTTGTCCATGTCTTTATTGGGAATCCACACAGACACTTTGTGTCTTTCACTTCCTATCAAGTATTAAGCCAGATGGCTTTTCTCCCAGGCTGAAGAGTCTCAGGGTGACTTCTGTGGAAAGATACTGGGGCTCTTGTTGGTAGAAAATAAATGTGCTGCTTTTTTCTTCTCTAACACAGTACACATATTATTAGCCAGGTATCTACTTTTCCAAATACTACTCAGGGAGAATAGATAGTGTTATTATATATTGGAGATCATTCTATGGATTAATTGCTCCAGTTTCCTAACTAAACCAAAGCAAAAACCTTTGAAAGAAATGCCTTAAGACAGAGGTCACAAACTCTGTTAGTTCATAATGCCTCTTAGGGTCTTGGTATTTTTTTCATGATGCCCTTAGGCCAGAAGACGTACCTAGCTGTTCACTTCATTAAGTAGTCAGGTCCAGACAACTTAATAGTAGTTAGTGTGGTACCTTTATAGTGTTTTCCTTGGAAATTTAAAATATTCCAAGGTGTCCCTTTGAGTCACTGCCATACACGGTTAGGTACCCTAGAGAGATACAACCTTCCCTTCCCTTCCCTTTAGAACAACCTTCCCTTTAGAACACGGTTAGGTACCCTAGAGAGATGCAACCTTCCCTTTAGAACATTGTTTTCAATAGAAATCAGATTCTGGATATATATTACATAATACCACATTCTCTCCCCTACCTTCATCAAAATCTGGCCTTAAGAGGAAAAATGTATTCAAATACTAAATAGAAGAAACAGATTTCTTTCACCTTAAAATTTATGCAAATCAAGATTTGAAAAAT